GCTCACTCCAGCTTTAATCTCCTGGGCTCAAGTGATCCTTCCACTTAACCCTCTCGAGCACCTTGTGCTACAGGCATGAGCCACCATACCAGCTAATTTAAAATATTTTTTTGTTTTTTTTTGGAGACAGAGTCTCCCTCTGTTGCCAGGCTGGAGTGCAGTGATGTGATCTCAGCTCACTGCAGCCTCTGCTTCCCGGCTTTAAGCGATTTTCTTGTCTCAGCCTCCCAAGTAGTTGGGAGTACGGGGGTGCGCCACCACGCCCAGCTTATTTTTGTATTTTTAATAGAGTTGTGGTTTCACTATGTTGGCCAGGCTGGTCTCGATCTCTTGACCTCGTAATCCACCTGCCTTGGCTTCCCAAAGTGCTGGGATTACAGGCCTGCGCCACTGCGCCTGGCCTAAACTATTTTTTAAGATGGAGTTTTGCGTTCGCCTAGGCTGGAGTGCAGTGGCACGGTCTCTACTCACTGCAACCTCTGCCTTTTGGTTTTAAGCAATTATTTGGCCTCAGCCTCCTGAGTAGCTGGGATTATAGGTGCCCACCACCATGCCTGGCTAATTTTTTTTTTTTTCTTTTTAATAGAGACAGGGTTTCACCATGTTGGCCAGTTTGGTCTTGAGCTCCTGATGTCGTGATTGCCCGCCTTGGCCTCCCAGAGTGCTTGGATTACAAGGTGTGAGCCACTGTGCCCTACCTTAACTTTTTTTTTTTTTTTTTGGATGGAGTTCTCGCTCTGTAGCCCAGGCTGTAGTGCAGTGGTATGATCTCGGCTCACTGCAACTTCCATCTCCTGGCTCCCTGTTCAAGCAATTCTCCTATCTCAGCCTCCCAAGTAGCTGGGATTATAGGCATGAGCCACCATGGCCAGCTAATTTTTGTTTTTTTTTTTAGTAGGGACGGGAGTTCACCATGTTGGCCAGTCTGGTCTTGAACTTCTGACCTTGTGATCTGCAGACCTCGGCCTCCCAAAGTGCTGGGATTACAGGCGTGAGCCACTCTGCTAGGCCAAATCTTTTTTTTTTTTTTTTTATAAAGGAAGGGGGATCTTTTCCTTATACCAAAACAATTCAACATGCATTAAAGGACAAAAAATAATGAGTATATAAAACCACTAGAAGAAATCATGCAAGTCTTTTGCTTTTTGAGACAGAGTCTTGCTCTGTCGCCCAGGCTGGAGTGTGGTTGCATGATCTTGGCTCACTGTAGCCTCTGCCCCCCGCGTTCCAGTGATTCTCTTGCCTTAGTCTTTAGGTAGCTGAGACTACAGGCTCACATCACCATAGCTGGTTAATTTTTGTATTTTTAGTAGAGACGGGGTTTCATCATATTGGCCAGGCTTGTCTTCAACTCTTGACCTCAGGTGATCCATCTGACTTGGCCTCCCAAAGTGCTAGGATTACAGGTGTGAGCCACTTTGCCTGTCCAGGAAGAATATTTTCATAATCTTGAAGTAGGAATGCTTAAATATGACATAAAACCCAAAAGCTGTAAAAGATCAGTAAACTTAATTCCATGAAAAACATGCTTTCTGGCCAGGCACAATGGCTCACAGCTGTTATCTGAGCACTTTGGGAGGCCGAGTCAGATGGATCACCTTAGGTCAGCTGTTCAAGACCAGCCTGATTAACATGGTGAAATCTTGTCTTTATAAAAAATATAAATATTAATGGGATTGTGATGGCATGTGCCTGTAATCTCAGCTACTTGGGAGGCTGAGGCAGGAGAATTATTTGAACTTGGGAGGCAGAGGTTACAGTGAGCCAAAATCACGCCATTGCACTCCAGCCTGGGCAACAAGAGTGAAACTTCATCTCCAACGAAAAAAAATAAAAGAAAAAGCTGCTTCCTAGTATATACACACCTAATGTCAGAGCGCCAAAATCTATGAAGCAAAAATGGGCAGAATTAAAGGGAGAAATAGACGTTTCACCAATAATAATTAGAGATTTCAATACCCCTTTCAGTAATAGGTAGAACAAGTCAGATTAACAATGACACAGAAGTTGAATGCTGCAAACTTGCTGACCTGACTGACGGTCAGTAGTAGCAGAATGCTATTTGTAAGTCCAAATGCAACAGTCCCCAGGATAGGCTGTAAGGTTCAGGCCATGGTCGGGCACGGTGGCTCACGCCTGTAATTCCACCACTTTGGGAGGCTGAGGCAGGCAGATGACCTGAGGTCAGGAGTTAGAGACTAGCCTGGCCAACAGGGTAAAACCCCATCTCTAGTAAAAATACAATAATTAGCCAGGCTTGGTGGCAGGTGCCTGTAATCCCAGCTACTTGGGAGGTTGAGGCTGGAGAATCGCTTGAACCTGGGAGGTAGAAGTTGCTGTGAGCTGAGATCGTGCCGTTGCACTCCAGCCTGGACGACGAGCAAAACTGTCTCAAAAAAGAAAAAAAAAAAGGTTCAGGCCATAAAACAAATAGGAATAAATTTAGAAGGGTTGAAATCGTTCAAAATACATTCTCCATCCATAAATGAGTTTACTTAGAATTAACAACAGAAGGGAATTGGGAAAATCCACAATATTTGGAAGTTAAACAGCATAGTGTGAAATAATCCATGGGACAAAGAAGTCACATGGAAATTGAGAAAATAACGTGAGGTTTGGTGCAGCAGCTCGCACTAGTAATCCCAGAGCTTTGGAAGGCCTGCGTGGGACTCTTGAGCCTAGGAGTTTGAGAGCAGCTTGGGCAAAGTAGTAAGACCTCCAGATGGGTGTGGTGGTACATGCCTCTTGTCCCAGCTACTCAGTAGGCTAAAGGGTAAGGATTACTTGAGCCTGGGAGGTCGAGGCTGCACTGAGCTGTGATGGCACCACTGTACTCCTGCCTGGGTGAAGTGAAAATCTGTCTCAAAAAAAAAAAAAAAACCTACCTAATGATGGGATTGAGTTGAGCCAGGCATCCTTGTCCGTGTTTGTCTCCAGCCATCCCGACATGCATGGTGTGGGAGCGTGGCTCTTCAGGAACCTGTGCTGCCTCTGCGAACAGATAGAAGCATCCTGCCAGCATGCTGATGTCGCCAGGGCCATGCTTTCTGGTATGTTCATGACAAGACATGTGTTCTTGGGTAAAACTCATTTTGATCAGTGGTAACATGCCTTTTGCTATCATGAGCTCTGGGAAGCAGAACAGCCTCTTTCTACCTGTGGCCATGGGAACCTGGCGTGACAACCTCCCAGCCTGAGCCTGTTGTGGGTTGGCATTTAACTTGACTGTTGTGGAAATACTAGTAAGTTGGCCCGTTGTCTTGTGTTAAGTATTTCCATGCACCTTTCTCATAAAGTGACCCAGCTGCTTCTGTTCTGAATCAGCAGACTCTTGCTTTGGCAGTAATTCCTGAGGACGGACATTAGGAGAAAAACTTTGGACTGTAATGTCCCCCCAACAAACTAAGAAGGTGCAGAGAGACCAGAGAATGGCTTGGACGAGTGCATCTTAATGAGTAGTCGGGTTTGTCAGGACTTACATCCAGGGCTTTCCTGGACAGCGGCAGGAGACCCCATCTCCAAGCTGTGTTTGGGCCAATTGCCTGGCTCTTTGCTTGTTGTGTTTAGTGATGAGACTATTTTCCTTGTTGAATTCTCAGATCCTCTCTAGGATGTTTGGGTTCTCAGGGACGCCTACTGAGAGACTGGTCCCACTACAGATGACACCTACAGATAAAAATTAGATGAGAAACTCACCTGTCAGGCAGCTTGTGGGTTTTTTCCTTTGCAAAAGACATTCTTTTTTCCTAAAATTTCTTGGTGGCATGATAATCTGGTCCCAGATAGGTTAAATCACATTTAGAAAATTGTTCTGCTTTTGGTCCTCTTGATTTTAATTTTTAAAAACCTATGAATCTGTTTCCTCCCCCATGACATTCCTCAGAATAGGATGCTTCTGGGTTCCTCTTGACCCTCTGATATTGGAGATTGGCAGGCGAGATGATCTGTAAGACCTCCCTTGGAAGCCACTTTTACTAGAGAGAAAAAAAATTCAGCTGGGCATGGTGGCTCTTGCCTGTGATCAATTCTAGCATTTTGGGAGGCTGAGATGGGTGGATCACAACGTCAGGAATTCAAGACCAGCCTGGCCCAGATAGTGAACTCTTGTCTCTATTAAAAATATAAAATTAGGCCAGGCATGGTGGCTCACACCTGTAATCCCAGCACTTTGGGAGGCCAAGGTGGGCGGATCACGAGGTCAGGAGATCGAGACCGTCCTGGCCAGCATGGTGAAACCCCATCTCTCCTAAAAATACAAAAATTAGTTGGGCGTGGTGGCGTGTGCCTGTAATCCCAGCTACTCGGGAGGCTGAAGGAGAATCACTTGAACCAGGGAGTCGGAGGTTGCAGGGAGCCGAGTGTTCTGTGCTCCAGCCTGGATGACAGAGTGAGACTCTGTCTCAAAAACAAAAAAAGTGTAAGAGTGTGTGTGTGTGTGTGTGTGTGTGTGTGTAAATTAGCTGGGCGTGATGGTGCGTGCCTGTACTCCCAACTGCTCGAGAGGCTAAGACAGGAGAATCACTGTAACCTGGACGGCAGAGGTTACAGTGAACCGAGATAGCACTGCTGCACTCCAGCCTGGGCAACGGAGTGAGATTCCGTCTCAAAAAAAAAAAAAAAAGAAAAAAAAAAATGCTTATTATGAACTGGATTCATTATAAGTGTTTCCGTTTCAAATAGAATTGCAAGAGGAAAAATCTGACTCATCTAAGGGTTCTGATTGGTTGGGTTTGGTGGATGCCTGTGTGCCTGTGCAGGGTTCCCTCAGGTTAGGAGCAGCTCACAGGGGTCCTGGTTGGCCCAAGCCATATGCACACCCGCCCCTCTGAAGTAGATGGCCTGTGCGATTCACAGTTGCTTGGAGACCATGATACATATAAATGCTTTGGTTTTGTGGTTTTTCAGATTTTGTGCAAATGTTTGTTTTGAGGGGATTTCAGAAAAACTCAGATCTGAGAAGAACTGTGGAGCCTGAAAAAGTGCCCCAGGTAGGAGGAAAAATAAAGTGGAGAGTTTGGAGAATTGACCTCCTGAAAATAGGCTGCGTCCTAAAAAGCAGTCCTTAACCCCAGTGTTCAGACGTGTCTATGTATTTCTTCATTAAAACATGTTGTGTGTATATACGGGTACACGTAATACTTGTTATGTGCACAGAACGTGTAATGATCAAGTGAGGGTGTTTAGAGTATCCATCACCTTGAGTGTTTATCATTTCTGTGTGTTGGCAACGTTTCAAATACTCCAGTTTTTTTGGTAGTATACTTTTTTTTTTCTTATAAAGATGGGTTTCACCATGTTGGTCAGGCTGGTCTTGAACTCCCGACCTCAGGTGATCCGCCCGCCTTGGCCTCCAAAGTGCTTGGATTACAGGCGTGAGCAATCGCGCCTGGCTTGTAATATACATTGGTACCTATGGCCACATTACTCTGCTATGGAACATTAGAACTTCTGTCTAGCTGTGCGTTTGTACCCGTTCACCAACTCTGCTGTCCCCTACTCCATATACCCGTCCCATCTCTGATTCTACACTCTACCTCCACACGATCCACTTTTTTTTTTTTTTTTTTTTTTTTTTTTTTTTTTTTTTTTTTTTTTTTTTTTTTCCTCCTGTAGATGGAGTCTTTCTTGTTCTGTCGCCAGGCTGCAGTGCAGTGGTGCCATTCTGGCTCACTGCAACTTCTGTTTTCTGGTTTCAAGCAATTCTTCTTGCCCTAGCCTCCTGAGCAGCTGGGACTGCAGGCATGTGCTATCACTCCTGGCTAAATGTTTTTGTATTTTTAGTAGAGACAGGGTTTCACCGTGTTCGCCAGGATGGTCTCAGTCTCTTGACCTCGTGATCCTCCTGCCTTGGCCTCCCAAAGTCCTGGAATCACAGACGTGAGCCACCGCGCCTGGCCAAGATCCTCTGTTTAACTCCCACATATGAGTGATATAACATGCAATATTTGTCCTCCTCTGCCTGGCTCATTTCACCTAATATAATGGCCTTCAGGTTCCATTCCTTTTGCAGTGAATGACAGAATTTTACTTAAAAAAAAATTGCTGAGGCCGGACTCAGTGGCCCACGCCTGTGATCCCAGCACTTCAGGAGGCCAAGGCGGGTGGATCCCCTGAGATCAGGAGTTCAAGACCAGCCAAACCAACGTGGCGAAACCCCCTCTCTACTAAAAATACAAAAAAAATTAGCCAGGTGTGGTGGCGCATGCCTGTAGTGCCAGCTACAGGCAGGGAGGCAGGAGGATCGCTTTAACCTTGGAGGTGGAGGTTGCACTGTGACGAGAACGTATTCCTGCGCTGCAGCCTGGGCAACAGAGTGAGACTCCGTCAAAGCTGAAGAGTATTCCACTGTGTGTATATACCACGCCCAACTAGTTTTTTATTTTTAGTAGAGACGGGATTTCACCATTTTGGTCAGGATGTTCTGGAACTCCTGACCTTATGATCTGCCCGCCTCAGCCTCCCAGAGTGCTGGGATCACAGGCATGAGCCACTGTAACCAGTGCTTTTTAGTTTAGTATGGTCCCATTTGCCTGTGCCTTTGAGGTCTTAGCCCTAAAATCTTTGTTCAGACCAGTGTCCTGAAGTGTTTCCCCTACGTTTTCTCCTTGTCATTTCATAGTTTTGGGACTTAGATGTAAGTCTTTATCCATTTTGAGTTGTTTGTTGTTTATAGTGAGAGATACGGATTGTTTCGTTCTGCATATAGATAATCAGTTTTTCCAGCACTTTTTGGTTATTTTTTTGGAGACAGAGTCTTGCTCTGCCACCCAGGCTGAAGTGCAGTGTCTCAATCTTGGCTCACTGCAACCTCTACCTTCCAGGACCAAGTGATCCTCTTGCCCTCAGCCTCCCGAGTAGCTGGGACTACAGGCGCCTGCCACCACGCCTGGATAATTTTTTTGTAATTTTAGTAGAGATGATGTTTCACCATATTGGCCATGGTGGTCTCGAACTCCTGAACTCAGGTGATCTGCCTGCCTCGACCCTTCAAAGTGCTGGGATTACAGGCTTGAGCCACTGTGCCCGGCCTCCCGATACCATTTTCCATTTTTTTTGAACAGTCTGTTCCTTCCCTCACGTATCTTTTTGAAATTTTTGTCTAAAATGAGCTGGCTGTGGTTAGGTATGGTGGCTCATGCCTGTAAATCCAGCATTTTGGGAGGCCAAGGTGGATGGATTACCTGAGGTCAGGAGTTTGAGACCAGCCTGGCCAACATGGCGAAACCCTGTCTGTACTAAAAATATAAAAAATTAGCTGGGTGTAGTGGCACACACCTGTAGTCCCAGCTACGTAGGAGGCTGAGGCAGAAGAATCACTTAAACCCAGGAGGCGGAGGTTGCAGTGAGCCGAGATCGCACCGTTGCATTCCAGCATGGGTGACAGAGCAAGACTCTTAAAAAAAAAATTAAAAAAAACAATGAGCTGACTATAAAGTTATGGATTTATTTCTGGATTCTCTATTCCGTTTCGTTGGTCTGTGTGTTTACATCAACATCGTGCTGTTTTCGTTTCTGTAGCCTTGTTGTATGTTTTGACGTCGGGCAGTGTGATGTCTACAGCTTTGTCATTTTCGCTCAGGATTGCTTTGCTTATCTATATTCTTTTTTTGGTTTCATGTGAATTTTAGAATCTTTTTCTCTGTTTCTGTGAAGAATATGATTGGTATTTTGATAGAGATTGCATTGAATCCGTAGATTGCTTTGGGTACATCCCAAATTTTCATTCCCTTTTGGATGTTCCTAAGTCAGTGGCTCACATTTTGCCTATACTGCAGTCTGTGGACTTTGAGGAAGCCTGTTTTATTGTTGCCATGAGTTGCTCCCTGCGTAGTAGTATGCTTTAAATCCAGAAGATGTGAAGAAGGGAAATGGGCAGTGTTACCTTCTCACTGTCTCCTCGCTCCAGAAGTGTTGAGGGTGAAAGCCTTTAATTCCACAGCCCAGAATCAAGGCCCTGCTTTCCCGTCTTCACCAAGTACTTCAGCAAAACGCTGTGCCTGCAAAAGTCAGTGTCCTGCCCAGCCCTGGGTTCACAGCCTCAGGCCATGTCCAGAGCAGTCTTCAGTAATTCCAGAAAGTTTGGCCTTTTTTCTCTGTCTGGTTCCCTTCAGTATTGGGATAATTTCTAGGTCTAGGAGGAAGTTTTAAAAGTTGACCTCTTTGTTAAGTCAGTTTCTTACTTTATTTTTATTTTTAATTCTTTTTTTTAAAGACAGAGTTTCACCATGTTGGTCAGGCTGGTCTTGAACTCCCAACCTCAGGTGATCCGCCTGCCTTGGCCTCCAAAGTGCATGGATTACAGGCGTGAGCCACCACGCCTGGTCCCTCACTTTACTTTAGAATAACAAGTGTTAATTCTCTTGTGTGATGCAGGTATGTGAAAATTACAAAGTGATGGTAATTCATACTCTGTTTTGGCAGGTCGCGGTTGATGTACTACAGAGAATGCTGATTTGTAAGTTAATTGCTCTGTGGCCCAGTTTGTGGATGACTTAGTTTGCTTTTTAACAATTCTGCCAGTTTTCTGTCTTTCCACGTGAAGTATTTCTTCTCTGTATGTTTCGCTGTGTAGAGTCCTGGTACTGGAATGCCTTTGTTTTGGTTGTAATTTGGTATGAATTTACCTTTTACTTCTTATTCTGGCTTCCAATTCCTAGTGGCATTAGATTTAATTTTCAGAGCTGTGAAGGCATACCACGTTAATCTGTGGTTAAGAGGGGAACGTTTTATTTTCTCTGTGTTTTCATTAACTTTAAAGGCTTACAGATTGCAGTAGCACTGAGGGAGGGCACTGAGGAGTCTTGGGCCCTGTGGGGGGTTGGACATGGATCTGTTGTCTGAAGGCACTGGGGACTGTTTGTGGTGGAGTGTCACTGTGCTGATGTCTGTTTTCTGTTCCTGGCTCTGTCATCAGTTGCACTTGACGCTTTAGCTGCTGGAGTACAAGAGGAGTCCTCCACTCACAAGACCTTGAGGGGCTGGTATGTTCCTGAGGGCGGCCTGGCTGAGGGCAGTGGGGAGGTTCCTGCTACGTTAAAAAGCAAGATATCCCACTCTTGAGCACACTTCCTCTGCCAGTTATGATAACGTGTGTGAGGAGGAGGTGGCATTGGGAGAGCCCTGGGGTGCTCTAGTCAGCCTTTTCCCTATGAGGATGAGGTCGGAAGGGGTGCCCCACTGCAGGAGCCTGTTCTGCCTCTGGAAGTCCTGCACCAATGCTTTGTCCCCACTCAGTGTGCCCCGGTGACCTCCTCCCCTGTCTGGAGTCTCCCCTTGCTCTTCCTTCCCTAGGTGTCATCCAGGCTCTAGAGTTCACCCTGCCCCTCAGGGCCCCCCACATTTCTAGAACACTCTGTAGCCATGCCTCTATGGACTTTTAAACTCTACCTGCCCTCCACGGGCCCTGCTCAGATTCACCAGTAGTCAAAGCTTTGCCCTATTTGCCTTTTCTCTCCATGGCTCTGCAGAGATGCGTAGATACCCTTACAGGCGGGGAGGTGAAAGCTGAGGAGTGGGGGCTTGGCAGAAAGTGGATGTTAGGGTTTGGTGGAAATGGGGCTCTGGGGTTTGCTTTCCTCGGATGTTGACGGGACCTTGAAGCGAAGTCTTAAGAAACCAGAATTCCCCACCATTCCAGGCCGTGTCAGCCTTTTCATTCTGTGATTGTTTTGCCCATTTCCCATCCCTCACAGTGACTAATTGCTTAATTAAGTAGGTTGGACACTTGGGTACTTTTATTGAAACGGTGAATAAAGCACTGCTTGGTATCCTGAATGTTGACGTGTGCATCAGTTAGCTTGGGCTGCTGTAACAAAGCGCCAGATACCGCGTGTGGGTGGCACATGTGTTCTCACAGCTGTGGAGGCTAGAAGTTGGAGGTCAGGGTGCCACCAAGGTTGGGTTCTGGGGAGGACCCTCTTCCTGGCTTTCAGGAGGCCTCCTTTTTCTGTGTCCTTACAAGGTAGCGAGGGGGAGAGCAAGCCCTCTGTCTTAGCAGGGCAGTCATCTCATTATGAGGGCCCCACTTTCAGGACCTCATTGCCTAGGCCTTATCAACACCCCACCTCACATTACTTGACACTGAGAGATGGGGCTTCACCAGAGGAACCTTGTGGGGATACAGTTTAGTCTTGGCTTTAGCAAGTGCATATTTTTATAATCTGGGTGATAAGATTGCTTACACTGGTGGCCTGACAGTCAGGGAGCAACCACTGACCTGCTGCTTTTTACATTTTGTAAATAGTTGCTATTACTTTTGAGGCAGAGTTTCGCTCTTGTTGTCCAGGCTGGCGTGCGACGGCATGATCGCAGCTCACTGCAGCCTCTACCTCCCAGGTTCAATCAGTGCTCCTGCTTCACCCTTCCAAGCAGCTGGGATTACAGGCTTGCACCACCACACCTGCTGAAAGCCTGTAATTTTGTATTTTGTATTTTTAGTAGGAATGGGGTTTCACCGTATTGGTCAGGCTGGTCTCAAACTCCTGACCTCAAGTACAGCCACCTTGGCCTCCCAAAGTGCTGGGATTACAGGTGTGAGCCACCGCACCCAGCCCACCAATACTTTAAAATAGGACATCCTCTAACAGTCTGAGTGGCCAGTTTCCCTTACACACTGAGGGCTGTGGTGTCCCAAAGCCCTGCCCTGTGAGGAAGGACAGCGGGGCTGAAAAGTGCATCTCCGTGATGTCCCCACCCTGTTGTGTGAGTGTCTTGAGTCTGCACATAGCCGATGTCGTCTTGGCAGGTGTGTGACCCTGGGGCAGTTCACTGAACGCGTAGGACCCTTGATTTTCTTACCTGGGTAATCGGGATAAAGTGCCCCTTGCTGGTTGCAGGCTGTAAGCCTCACAAGAGGGACTGGGTTTGGCGTGGTGGTCTGTGTAGAGGTCTACTGGGCTGTGAGACCTCAAGTGCTCTTGACACCTGGCTCCATGACCCCATTCAACCCTAGTACATCCTATTCTCTCCCTCAAATGGCTCAGGAAACCATAGTCCCTTCCATTGCTTCCTCATCCTCATGGATGGTGCTGGCCTCAGTCCCTGTCGTGACTGCAGTGCTTGAGGCCCTGTGGGCTGGGCTCTGCATGTGAGGCTTGGCACGACCCTTTGAAGGAGTTCCATTTTGCAGAGGGTGCTGCTGAGGCCCCGAGGGTGGGCTCTTCACTTGAGGCTTGGCACGAGCCTTTGGGGGAGGGAGTTCCATTTCATAGAGAGTTCCGCTGAGGTCCCCTTGGGTGGGCTCCCGCTGCTCCACTCCAGGGTACGGTGCGCGCTACCCTTCCCAACCTGTTTATTTCTCCTGCTTCCTCCGCTGCTCTGCCCTGTGGGTTTTGCCACTGCTTTGTCTCCTTTCTGGTTGAAATGCCACCTCCTTGGATTCAGTTTCAAGTCTGTGGTTATAGTAGCCTGGCCCAGAAAACCCCTTCCTTGCTTAAAGAAGGGATGGGCCTGAGGCACACTTTGTGCCGGGACTCGTGAGTGGTGTACAGGGCACCCTCCCTTTTCTCAACCCTCTTTCTGCTGCATTGGCAGGTTCGACGTGTTCAGCGGACACACGCTTGGCAGTATAATTTCCACAGATTCTCCGAAGAGGTTTTTCAGTCATACCCTGACTCAGATACTCACTCACAGCCCTGTGCTGAAAGGTAGGCGTAGCCCAGAGGCTGCCCTGTCACTACTCAGTTTCGGGAATGCTGTTTCATTGCTGCCTTGGTAACTCTGATGGGAGATGCCAGGAACTCTGGGACCACTTTTGTGTCTCTGATTTCAACCAGAGATTGGGTCCTGAGACGCCTGAGGTTGTTACTAAATATCCTTTCACCTGAAAGGAACACATTCTTAAAAGAAAATTCAGAATTGGTCAGGCATGGTGGCTCACATCTGTAATCCCAGCACTTTGGGAGGCCGAGGCGGGTGGATCACAAGGTCAAGAGATCAAGACCATCCTGGCCAATATGGTGAAACCCCGTTTCTACTAAAAATACAAAAAAATTATCCGGGTCTGGTGGCATGCACCTGTAGTCCCAGCTACTCGGGAGGCTGAGGCTGGAGAATTGTTTGAACCTGGGAGGCAGAGGTTGCAGTGAGCTGAGATTACACTGCTACACTCCTGCTGGTGTGACGAGAGAAACTCCATCTCAAAAAAAAAAAAAAAATTCAGAATTAGGAGTGGACAGAAGAATGTCTTTATTTTTTTTTTTTGAGAGGGAGTCTTACTCTGTTGCCCATGCTGGAGTGCAGTGGTGTGATCTCGGCTCACTGCTACTTCCGCCTACCAGGTTCAAGTGATGCTTGTGTCTCAGCTTCCCGAGTAGCTGGGAATACAGGAACACACCACATGCCAGGTTAATTTTTAGTATTTTTAGTAGAGACGGGGTTTCACTTTGTTGGCCAGGCTGGCCTCGATCTCCTGACCTCAGGAACTCCTGATCTGCCTGCCTCGGCCTCCCAAAGTGTTGGGATTACCGGCATGAGCCATCACCCCTGGCCTAAAATAGAAATACCTTTAACGTGAAACATTTCAGTGGTGTTTTTCTAAACAGATTGTTTAAAAATGTAGTTCTTCTCTAAGTGCCACAATTCTGTCTTAAAATGTTGTATAAGCATGTTCTCATGCAGGCTTGCCCAGTGTTCCCGGCAGACCTTCCAGGGAGTATGCTGGGGGGTCCACTGCTTCTGCCCTGAGAGGCCAGAGTGTACTCTGCTGCCTCACTCGAGTCTCTAGGGATTTGTGCTTGACATGCTGTGATTGCTGTCTAGTCTTGTAAAATTTGGACATGCACATTCTCCTACTGGAAGACCTGATCACCCAGCACAACTCACATTATCTTTCTGCTGGCTGCCTTTGCCTTGCTATGACTGTGTCATGTTCTCAACTAGACTGGGTGGTGGCACATTTGATGGTCCAGGCATCGTCTGCCCACTCAGTGTCCTGTTACCCAACTGTTTCTTACAAATCAGGCCAAGATGAACACTTTGATTGTTGAGCTTTTTCTGTGTCTAGGATATCCCCAGGGTAGGTGCTCAGGCAGGAAACTGGCAGGGGGACAAGGGATGCATGGACAGCTCTGGACAGGCGCTGTGAAGTACTTAGGAGTTTATCGGCGCTTGCATGGAGCTGAGCTTCCTTTGAACAGCTTTCCCACCATGAATCGTTTATTGACAGTTTAAGAGTAGGAAAACTGAAATGTGATTGATACATTGGCATATATTTATCTTGACTATGAGGAAGCATTACAGTAAGCGGGCCTAAGAAGCCGAGAATTGATAGCTTAGCAAATAGGCAACAAACAGGGAGATGGTGAACTTTAATAATTGGAAAAATACATAGTAAGATCTTTTTTCACACTGAAGCTTTGAATCACAACTTTTTGGCCAACAGCAGTGGCTTACCCTTGTAATCCCAGCACTTTGGGAGGCTGAGGCAGGTGGATCTACAAGGTCAGGAGTTCAAGACCAGCCTGGCCAACACAGTAAAAGCCCGTCTCTATTAAAAATACAAAAATTAGCCAGGCGCGGTGGCAGACACCAGTAGTCCTCAGCTACTTGGGAGGCTGAGGCAGGAGAATTGCTTGAACCTGGGAGGTGGAAGTTGCAGTGAGCTGGGACCACGCCATTATACTCCCGCCTGGGGACAGAGCAAGACTCTGTCTCAAAAAAAAATACAACAAAGCAGCTGGGTATGATGGCGCAGCCTGTGGTTGCTGCTGCTTTGGAGACTGAGGCAGGTGGATTGCTTGAGCCAGGGAGGTTGAGGCTGTGGTGAGCACCGCACTCCAGTGTGGGTGATAGTGAGACCCAAAAACAAAAACCACAACGTTTTGATTTCTGACTTGAGGTTTTTGTCTGTTTCTCCCCGTGCAGCATCTGATGCTGTTCAGATGCAGAGAGAGTGGAGCTTTGCGCGGACGCACCCTCTGCTTACCGCGTTGTACCGCAGGGTGAGTAGACGTGGCAGTACACCTGCTGCTGAGCTCGTGCATGGGGATTAAGATCTGCTGAGTCTTTGTTGTGCTGCCTGCCATGGACAGCACATGGGGAGGTTCAGGGATGTCTACTGAGATGTGGCTGTCCTCATCTAGGCCACCATTCAGGTCAGGAGACTGAATGTCCTGCCAGAGATAAGGAGAATTCTCTCCAGCCAGTGCTGACCACTGTGACGGGAGAGATGCCACAGTGTTGTCACAGCTCCACATGCGGCCTTTCCAGTGGGAAGTGGGAGGGGCTGCGGGTGGCTGCGGGGAGGGAGGTGTGGGGTCATCTGTCCCATGCTGGTTTGCTTTGATGTTGAAGGGAGTGGATGCTTTTATTTCAGCTCTTTGTGATGCTGAGTCCAGAGGAGTTGGTTGGCCATTTGCAAGAAGTTCTGGAAACGCAGGAGGTTAACTGGCAGCGAGTGCTCTCATTTGTGTCTACACTGGTTGTGTGCTTCCCAGAAGCACAGCAGCTGCTCAGAGGTGAGCTTCTATGACAGCCTGGTGGTGCTGATCAGAATGTGTGAGGGGGTGTGACTTGAGCACTGCTGTCAGCAGAGTCCCAGCTGACCGTGGGGGAGCCTCTCAGTGAAACCCTTCCCTACCTGCCTGGAACCTGTAATGCCTCCTGTCAGTGGAACAGTCTTGGTCAGATGCTTCCATGAGCACTGATTGCTGCTCTGAGAGGCCAGGTGTGCACTGCTGGTTCATTCAAGTCTCTAGCGGTTTCTGCGTGACATGCTGTAATCGCCTTCTAGTCTTTTAAAACTTCGCGTTTGGGCGTGCACATTCTCCTGTTGGAATGCCTGATCACCCAGCACACCTGAAGTTATCTTTCTGCTGGCTGCCCTTGCCTTGCTGTGATGGTGTCATGTTCTCAACTAGACTGGGTGGCGCGTTTGATGGCCCAGGCATTTGAGAGCTGCCAGCTGGACAACATGGTCACTGCGTTCCTGGTCGTGCGCCAGGCAGCACTGGAGGGCCCCTCTGCATTCCAGTCATATGCAGACTGGTTCAAGGTAAGGGACCTGCCCATTGCTAACTAGCTCCTGATCTCCCGGAAGGCTTGGGAATGGGGACCATGCTGTCCCCACCTGACACTCTGTCATGAGAGTGAACGACCTTGCTGTGAGCTTTGCCAAGTGGCTTCCACAGACCTACTGGGTGTGCTGGGGGGCCTGAGTTCTCCCTGTTGGGGCCTTGGTCCCTTCCCCTGGTTTCGTCTCACTTGCTTGATGGAGCCTCCTGCTGTCTTTTATAAGAACATTAGGGAAATCAAGCCTGGACAACATAGTGAGGCCTCGTTGCCTCCAAAAACAACAGCAACAACAACAAACAACAAACTAGGCAGGTGTGGTCCATGCCTGTCGTCCTGGTTACTTGGGAGGCTGAGATTCGAGGACTGCTTGAGCCTGGCAGCTAAAGCCGCAGTGAGCTCTGATCGCACCAGTGTACTCCAGCCTGGGTGACAGGAGACCCACCCCAGAAGGAAAAAAGGAAACTAGGAAAGGGCAGACACAGAAGTGGCTGCTGCTTTTTGCAGAATATAAAGCATCTCTTATCTCAGTTTTTCTTTTTTATTAATTTGAGGCGGAGTCTCATTCTGTCGCTTAGGCTGCAGTGCAGTGGCATGATCTCGGCTCACTGCAGTCTCCATCTCCCGAGTTCAGGCGATTCTCCTGCCTCAGCCTCCTGAGTAGCTGGAATTACAGGCACCCGCCACCACGCCCAGGTAATTTTTGTATTTTTGGTAGAAACAGGGTTTCACCATGTTGGTTGGGCTGGTCTGAAACTCCTGACCTCGTGATTCACCCGTCTCGGCTCCCAAGGTGTTGGGTTTCAGGTGTGAGCCACCATGCCCAGCCTTTGCTTTGCATTTTTTTTTTTTTTTGGAGATGGAGTCTCACTCTGTCACCCATGCTGGAGCGCAGTGGCACGATCTCTGCTTACTGCAACCTCTGCCTCATGGGTTCAAGCGATTTTCCTGCCTCAGCCCTGTAGCTGGGGTTGCAGGTGTCCGTCACCACACCTGGCTCATTTTTGTTTTTGTTTGTTTGTTTTTGAGATGGAGTCTTTCTCTGTTGCCCAGGCTACGGTGCAGTGGTGCGATCTTGGCTCACTGCAACCTCCACCTACCAGGTTCAAGTGATTCTCTTGCCTCGGCCTCCCGCGTAGCTGGGATGACAGGCATGTTCCACCATGGCCAGCTAAGTTTTCGTATTTTTAGTAGAGATGGGGTTTCACTGTGTTAGCCAGGATGGTCTTGATCTTCTGACCTCGTGATCCACCCTCCTCGGCCTCCCAGTGTGCTGGGATTATAGGTGTGAGCCACCACACCTGGCCTAATTTTTGTATTTTCAGTAGAGACGGGATTTCACCATGTTGGCCAGGCTGGTCTTGTACTCCTAACCTCAAGTGATCCGCCCGCCCCAGCCTCCCAAAGTGTTGGGTTTACAGGCGTAAGCCACCACACCTGGCCTTGGGTCTCTAATTTTCATGTAAGTCCTGAAACAAGTACTCCCTTATTCAGAGGTGTCACATATTCTTCCCTTTTCTGTGGAGTACACACAGTGTTCTCTCTGACAGAAGTTTATGCTGCTGTTCCCAAACCTGGGTGGGTGTTAGACTCGCCTGCAGGGGGCCTTTGGAAATGCAGAACAGGGCCCATTTCACACTAGAGTCTGAGCTTTCAAGATCAGCCTGGGCAACACAGTGAGACCCCTGCCTCTACAAAAAATGAAAAATTAGCTGGGTGTATGGGTAAGCACCTGTAGTCCCATCTGCTTGCACGCTGTGGCAGGAGGATTGCCTGAGCTGAGGAGGTTGAGGCTGCAGTGAGCTGGGATTGCAGTACTACGCTCCAGTCTGGGAGACAGCAGGACTCTGTCTCCAAAAAATAAAAAGTACTGGATTTGTTTGCCATCACCGTTTTGGTGAAGTAGTTTCCTCTTTGTAGGAGTCTCAGCTTCCTGAAATTTTAAAGACCCGCGTGCCTGCTTCTCCCCAGGGCCTTCTGAGGAGGTGAGGCTGCCCAGCAGGCTGAGCCTCTTAGGCTTATATTGGGAGAAGGTGGTGATCCTTGCCGTGTCAACTCACGCTTATTCCTTAAGGTTTCTTTTCATCTGCCCTCAGGCTCTCCCCAGCTCTATGCAGTTGTCTGCTACTAAGTTGGTCTCTCCTTAGTTTCTACTAAACTAAGGTGAGAGGCATTTGCTCTGTCCTTAGTGAGGTGCTGAGGTATTTATGCCAGAGTCCACACTGGTCCTCTTGGAGCTGTGAGTTCATCTATCTCCCAGGGCCTTGGTTCAGGGGTCTGCCAGGGTTTACTTTTTTTTGGCTCCCAAGGTCACAGTCAGTGTGAGTGGAATACTTCTTAAGTGCTGTGTTGACGGTGTTGTTTGCTTTTTCTTTCACCTTTTCAAATCACCTTCATCAAAATTTAGTTTTAATGAAATAATAAAATGCACACAATTTAACTGTACCATTAAATGAGGTTTTTTGTTTTTGTGTTTTCAGAGACTCGGTCTTGCTCTGTTGCCTGGGCTGGAGTGCAGTGGCATGATCATAGCTCACTGCAGCCTTGACCTCCTGGGGTCAAGCAGTCCTCCTGTCTCAGCATCCAGAGTAACTGGGACTGTAGGTGTGTGCTACCACACATAGCTAATTAAAAAAAAAATTTTGTGTGAATACAACATCCCACTGTGTTGCCTAGGGTGGTCTCAAACTCCAGGCCTCAAGTGATCCACCTGCCTCAACCCCCAAAACACTGGGATTATAGGTGGGAGCCATCACATCTAGGCAGTTAGATGAGTTTTGATAAATGTGTGTTTGCATATTCAGCATTCAAACATCTGTTCTAATCTTTAATTTTGTGCGTGAATCCCAGCACTGTGGGAGGACAAGGTGGGCACATCACTTGAGTTCAGGAGTTTGAGCCCAGCCTGGGCAACATGGTAAAACCCCGTCTCTACTAAAAATAAAAAGATTAGCTGGGTGTGGTAGGTGCCTGTAATCCCAGCTACTCGGGAGGCTGAGGCAGGAGAATTGCTTGAACCTGGGAGGCATAGGCTGCAGTCAGCTGAGATTGCACCATTGTGTTCCAACGTGGGTGACAGAGCAAGACACTGTCTCAAAAAAAAAAAAAAAACATTTTTTGGTTCTAGGAAGTGTTAATATACATAGACCAAATGATTGCTAATTTGAGCCCTCTGGGGTCATTAATACAGTTTTCAGCACATTACCTTATGTAGTTAAATGTAATTTGTGGGTTTGTTGACCTTTTTTTTTTCTTTTTTTTTTTTCAAATTTAGGCTGGGTCTCTGCTCTGTCTCCCAGGCTGGGATGTGGTGGTGTCATCACGGCTCACTGCAGTCTCAACCTTCCAGACTCAAATGATCCTTCTACCTCAACTTCCCCAGTAGCCAGGACTGCAGGTGTGTGTCACTACGCCTGGCTAATTATTAAAAACATTTTTTGTAGAGATAGGGTCTCACCATGTTGCCCTGGCTTGTCTTGACCTCCTCGGCTCAAGTGAACTTCCTGCCTCAACCTCCCAAAGTATTGGAATTACTAGAGAGAGCCACTGCACCCAGACGTTGTGTAAATTTTTTTCAAAAATAACAAACAGGGCTGGGCGCGGTGGCTCACGCCTATAATCGCAGCACTTCGGGAGGCAAAGACTGGCAGATCATGAGGTCAAGAGATTGAGACCATCCTGGCCAGCATGGTGAAACCCTTTTCAGCCTGTAATCCTAGCTGCTTGGCAGGCTGAGGCAGAAAAATTTCTTGAACCAGGGATGTGGAGGTTGCAGTGAGCCAAGATCACGCCACTGCACTCCAGCCTGGCATCTGAAGTCAGAGCGAGACTCCGTCTCAACAAAAAAAAATAGTAATAACAGTCTGAACTGTCTTTTTTTCCCGGTGACTAACAGTGGCTGCTATGACCCCAGGTCTGGCTTGTGTCAGCCACTTTACAGAAATGCCTCAGTGGTGGATCAGGACTATTCCTTGCTGCAGCCAGTGATCATCTAGCTCGCTGTAACTGAACATTGCCGAGAGACAGTAGTCGTTCCATTGTGGATGGCTGAATAGAGGATAATAAGTCATGGTGTGGCTGGTGGGAGAATTTAAAGTTGAAATTATATGCTGATGTTTTGAGCGAACCCTTGAGTGGTCTCAGGTTGTATTTAAATCCTTTTTTTTTTTTTTTTTTTTTTTTTTTGTTTTTTTTTTTTTTTTTTTTTTTTTGAGACAGAGTTTTGCTCTTGTTACCCAGGCTGGAGTGCAGTGGTGCGATCTCAGCTCACTGCAACCTCTGCATCCTGGGTTCAAGCAATTCTCCTGCCTCAGCCTTCCGAGTAGCTGGGACTATAGGCTTGCGCCACCATGCCTAGCTAATTTCTGTATTTTTAGTAGAGATGGGGTTTCACCGTGTTGACCAGGATGGTCTCGATCTCTTGACCTTGTGATCCACCCGCCTTGGCCTCCTAAAGTGCTGGGATTATAGGTGTGAGCTACCGCGCCTGGCCTTAAATCTTTTTTTTTTTTTTTGTGAGACAGAATCGCGCTCTGTAGCCCAGGCTGGAGTGCATTGGCATAATCTCTGCTCACTGCAACCTCTGTCTCTCAGGTTCGAGTGAGTCTCCTGCCTCAGCCTCCCGAGTAGCTGGGATTACAGGCATGCACCACCACACCCAGCTAATTTTTGTGTTTTTAGTAGAGGCAGGGTTTCACCATGTTGGTCAGGTTGGTCTCAAACTCCTCGCCTCATCATCTGCCCGCCTTGGCCTCCCAGAGTGCTGGGATTACAGGCGCTAGCCACCATGCCCGGTTCTTAAATTTTTTTTTTTTTTTTTTTTTTTTTTTTTTTTTTTTTTTTTTTTTTTTTTTTTTTTTTTTTTT